ACGAGGGGGACAATGATTTTGAATGATGCTTTATAATTTTACCTTTCGTGTCCACTATGGTACCTACATGATTGTTGGCACCATACCGTGTCATGGGTTAATTATAACAGTTCTAAAGGTTAGTGATTTCCTTTGCGATCTCAACCGAATGGCCATGACAAGGAAGACTACAAAATCAGAAAACGATAGCTACTATGATTTCCAACTGTCCATGGACGATTGCATGCTTTTTTAAGGTCCACCAACGTCAATGGACCATAATTACTGTTCTTATTCTTAGGTTGTTTTTTATTATTATTATTTTTTATTTATTTACAGTTCTTTCCAACATGCTATTTATGAACGCAAAGCACTACTCGATGCACTCAAACTCCATAAGAAGAGAATAACTTACTTTAGGCATTGGAATATTTTAAGAAGTTGGGCATTTAAACTTACACCGATTTTCAGTTTTGCCTTGACGTGACGTAAACGCAATGTTATTACCACAAAAGAAAATGTAATGTTTAGAAACAAATCAACTATTTCATTTATTTTCATCATACTTGGCTTGAACACTAAAAATAATTATAAAAAAAAAAAAGACTTGTTTCTCTTGATTAAATGACACATAAATCTGGATTCCACCAATCTGCATTTGCTGCAGTATAACAGGTAATGTTTTTAGAATATTAAAACAGAAAAAAATAATAGCGACACTTTCTAAATTTTTCTTGCTAGTAATACTTTTTACTATGTTAAATTGCCTTTTTATTTTTTTTATTCTTGTCGATTCATACCTTTAATCTTATTTACATTTTTGTAGTTTTTTTATCCATGAATATTCATATTACTAAATAACACATCATATAAACATAAATAAATATTAAAACTTAATAATTAATAGATGTTAACATGGAAGGACTAAATGATATGTAATTTAACCTTTTTTATTATTAACAGAAAATTATAAGTTTTAGTAAATTATACTACTAAATTAGGATAAAGATCCAAATATAAAACTTACAAAACAAAAATAAATAAGAGATAACAATAATTATATACAATATTTAATTAATATATCTTGACATTATATTTTTTATATTTTCATTTAATCATAAATTATGATATAAACAGAAATTGTTGAATTATGTAATAATTTTTTTAAAAAATATTTATAATATGTTCAGGGTTTCTTATTCTTCGCTTAGGGTTTCTTTATAATATGTTTTAATTAGTTGATAGAATAAAGAAATTTATATCGACTGTACCTCCTTAAGGGTACACTCGTAGTCTTCTTGGTGAGAAGGGCCGAACGGATACTTCAAACGGACTCTTCAGAGGGGGGAGGTACCTGCAAAAGGCACTCCGACGCTCAAGTCAGGACAAGCACGATATTCTAGGATAATTAATGAACTGTGACATACCTTAACAAAAGTGACCTATTTATACTACCGCTGATGGGTCTTGTCAGTAGTGGGCATCTCCTGAAGTTTACCAAATTAGGTAATACGATTCTAATAGGCTAATTATGCCTTAATCACGCACTTATCCTTATTAACCACGATGAAGGCTTTAATTATTGCCTCCTCATTCGGCTCGGCCTTAGACTGTGCCGTTACGCGTTTGCTGCGCTGAACTGCTTGTTCGGGGCTTGTCCGAGTCGGTCCGTGGCCTGCAAAGATGTCTATGGTTCTATTCGTATCGGCCTCAAGCTGAGCCGATCGTGCTATCAGGCTCACTTCGGCCTTCGGTTATAGCCCGAGCCGATGCTGATGTCAAGACTTTTGGGCATAATTCACTTCGCGTGGGTGTCTGATGGGACGGCACGTGTTGGTCCACGTGACCGATAGGGTCCTCCCGGTACACAAGCCCCCCAGCCTTGAGGAGTGGAACGACGCAAAGGGTAAAAGTGTCTTGGTGGTGGCCTTGAAGATGAGGTCAAGCGTTGGCGGGAAACGAAGAGTTGCAACGGTTGAGTATTAATTACGCGAGGAGTTATGGCCGCTGGTGGAAGACTAAGGGTTGTGCCCGTTGGGGGAATACCAAAGGTTGTAACCGTTGGGTATTAATGACGCATGCGAAAGGCCGCCCGTTGTGAACCATTGGATTCCAGTGATCCAACGGTGCGCAGAGGGGTGTGGCCTTTGGGGTGTTCGCGGGGAGCGCCAATAAAAAGGCATGTGGGGGGGGGGACCTCAAAGGTACACAGTGAGTACTTGCTCCGAGCCGAAATCATTCAAGTGCTGGATTATTCATCAACGATAGGTCAAGCTCAACAATCAGGTACGTAATGGCGGATTTAAATATCGTTCATCTTGACTCCTCTGGGGATACGGGTGGTTCTGCTAATGTCGCGTCGGGGGCAGCGTCGGACCGACACGATGTATCGGCTTCGGCCTCGAATGGGTCGGGCCACGCGGGATCTGCTTCAGGGTCAAGGCACACGATGAGTGAAGGCGATTCCGCATTTGTAATAGGTTCAGAAGATCGGCCCTCCACGGCTTCGAGGCAGTTTCCTCCTATCGTGACGCCTGGTTATTCATGGGTGCACGGGGAAGTGGGTAGTGTCTACTCTCGGTATGCCGACAAGAATTCTCTCGCGCTTTTTCTTTCGGCTACGAATTGTGTAACTTTCCCAGCCTGTAGAGGATCCCTCTCCGATCTTCTTTCAGCCGTGCCGAGGTGACGGCGATCCAAACCCAGACTTCGTCTTTTTAGACCAAGGAAATAGTAAATATCACTTTTTCTACGTATATGATTACATGTTTCGCGACTTAAAGGTCGCGTTACCGTTTGACGAGTATTTTTCGGGGATATTGCGTTTGCTGAACGTGGCCCCCACTCAACTTCACCCCAATACTTGGGCCGCCATGCAAGGGTTTAGGCGGCTGTGCCTAGCTCTCGGCCTCGAGCCCACTCCTCTCTTATTTCTGTATTTTTATTCATCTCGGCCAGCTAAGAAGGTTAAGTGGTTGTCATTGGTTCGGCATGCCGATTGTTTGCTGCAGCCGTTTACGACCTCCTACAAGAATTTCAAGGGAGGATTTCTTAAAGTGATGATTAGGCCGTCAACAGGGAAGAAATACTTTTTTGATGACAACGGACGGCCCTTGTTTCCATTCTACTGGACCCGAAAGCCACGCAAGTACGATACCGTGTCTAAGTCCCGACTGTCTCCCGAGGAGCGAACTAGCTTAAACTTCTTATTGAAGCTGCCTCGACCACTGCCTTGCCAACCGCTGGTTCGGCTATTTGAAACGGCTGACCCGACCGAGGAACTACTTGGTATAGTAACTTTCCTAGTTGTTTGAATTCTTGCGTTATCATTGATTTTGACTAATGATGTGCAGGTATAATGGCGAACCATGCTGATGACGACTTGGACATCCGTACGCTGATTAGGAACCAACTGGCAGTGATGGCGGGGAACAGGGTTCCAACCAACGTTCCCGTGGCTGGGAATACCTCCACTCCACAAGGTGGTGGGTCGGGGCCAACTGCCCGGGTGAAGAAAGGGGGCAAAGGTCCGACCCAGCCTCATGGTGAAAAGAGAGGGCCCGAAAGAGTAAGGGTCGTGGATGAAAGCCGGCGGGCGAAGCAGCAACGGCTAGCCAACCCGAACGCTCCTGAGGGGTTGATTGGGCCTAGTTTCTTGGCCGGCAATGTCAACACTCAAGATTTCTTGAGCCAGGACCTGACCTCCGAGGCTGGGCAAGGGGTGCTGAGTCGCATGAGCTCGGCTAAAAAGTGGAACTTTTTCTGCGAGTTCCAGGTTCGGGCTGTCGCCTTGGCTCAGAGTATTGTGATGGAGCCGAACGGAGAGGCGCAAGGCCTCCGTCGTCATCTGGCGGAGCAGGAGAAGTCTTTACAAGAGACTTTGGCGGCGCTGACCGACGCCCAAACGGCCAACAGCAAGTTTCAGGCCGAGTTGGACCGCCGGGGGCGTACAGCTGATGACTTGGCGCTGAAAGTCCAGCGTCTAGAGGTTGCCTTGAAGAATGAAACGGGGAAGGTTGAGCTGCTGAGCAAAGAGCTGGAATCCGAGAAAATAGCCTTCGGGGCTTATCAAGAAAAAGCTCGTAGCAAGGTTCTGTCTCAACATCAGGCTGGGTTCAACCAGGCGGCTCGGCAGGCGCGTTGCTTTGGTGACTTCCCCTCCGACTTCCAGCTGGACATGACCAAGGACTTCTTCCAGGGGAAGTTAGTGGATCTAACTTCTATCCCGCCAGATCAGCAGCCGGACGAGGAGGCTCCGGTTCGTGCAGCCGGGCCGAACGAGGAGACGGCCTATGAGGAAGGCGCTCTGGAAGATGGCCCAGTGCAGGGGGAGGCGGAGGTGCAGTCTTAAATTGTTTCTTGTGTGCGTTTTGTGTTAATGAGCTGGTAGTGCTCTTTGAATTTTCATCGCTTTTTGTATGAATGGGCCGATAGTGCCCTTTTATCATTGTACTTCTCCAGGCCGATGGCGCCATAATGAATTTGTGTTGTCATTACTCCTTAGCTGTTCAACTTACCCTGCTTGTGTAATACTAAAAATTGATTTGTAAAAAATTTTAACCGTGAGCCACATCCTTGATCGAGTGGCGTCTCGGGGGGGAAGACTTAAAAAATTTTAATCATAAGCCACATCCTTGGCCGAGAGGCGTCTCGGGAAGGAAAACTTGATAAAATATTTGAAGCCACATCCTTAGCCGAGAGACATCTCGAGAGGGAAGACTTGAATTAGTGAAAGCCGCATCCTTGGCCGAGAGACATCTCGGGAGGGAAGACTTGTAAAATGATTAAAGCCACATCCTTGGCCGAGAGACATCTCGGGAGGGAAGACTTGTATAATTTAACACGAAGACGAAACAATTGACAAGCTTGAATACTGAGAATGCTTTTTCATTAATGAACTGGTGCCTCGTTAAAAACCTTGCCAACCAAAAACCCCTTTTCACAATTTTATAAGAGGAAAAAAGATCGGTTCAAGGAAAAGAGTGCACCATTTTACACGCAGTTGAAATGTAAATACAAGTTTAGCTATAATATGTCTTCAGATGAGTGGAGTTCCACGTTCTCGGAATGATCTTGCCGGACAGTTCTTCCAGCTTGTATGCTCCATTGTGGAGTGCGTGCCGTATCCGGAACGGTCCGTCCCAATTGGCCGAGAGCTCCCCTTCGGATGAGTTGCGCCTGGCCGACCCAGTCGCTCGCCAAACAAGATCTCCTTCATGAAACGTTCTTGGATTTAAGTTGGAATTAAAGCGTCTACTCATGCGTTGCTTGCAGGCCTCGGCTACAATTTGTGCCCTTTCTCGCACTTCATCAAGGACATCGAGTTCGGCTCGGAGTGAATCATCATTAGATTCTTCATGGAAGTGTTGTCGTCGAAACAAAGGTTCTCCTACTTCAACCGGAATCATTGCATCTGCGCCGTATGTTAGGCGAAAGGGTGTCTCCTTGGTTGTTGATTGTGGTGTACACCGGTATGCCCAAAGGACTTCCGGTAATTCTTCAGCCCATGCACCTTTAGCCGAACCACGTCGTTTCTTTAGCTCTGTGAGGATAACTTTGTTCGCTGCTTCGGCCTGGCCGTTTGATTGGGGATGCTCGACTGATGTGAACCGGTGACGAATGCCGAGATTTTCAAGGAAGGTGTTGAACTTCTTGTCAGTAAATTGAAGGCCGTTGTCCGAGACGATGGCATAAGGAATGTCGAAGCGGGTAACCAGATTTTTCCAAACAAACTTCTGGACACTCGCTGCGGAAATGCAAGCGAGTGGTTCGGCTTCTATCCATTTTGTAAAATAATCTACTGCAACCAGGAGAAACTTAACTTGCCCTTTTGCCATAGGGAATGGTCCAAGCACATCGATACCCCATAAAGCGAACGGCCATGGAGAGCTGATGCTATGCAATTCGGCAGCCGAGGCATGGATGAGATTCCCATGTCTTTGACATTGAACGCACTTTTTGACGAACTCGGCGCAGTCTCCCTTCAGAGTTGGCCAATAATAACCGGCTCGCAAGACTTTAGCCGCCAGGGTTCGCCCCCCCGAGTGAGATCCGCAAATGCCTTCGTGAATTTCCCGCATCACATAATCGGCTTGTAGGTTGTCAATGCACCTGAGCAGTGGGGTGGAGAATCCCCGCCGATAGAGCACTTCGGCTACCATGGAGTACCGAGCCGCTTGAGTTCGTAATTTCTTGGCTTTCATCAGATCGGTTGGTAATTCGTCTCGAACAATAAAGTTTCGAATGGCGGTCATCCAGGTCGGCGCTTTGACTTCGGTTGACATGCACTCGGCCGTCACACTCGGGGAGGGAATCTCTAGGTGAATGGTTCTGCGCAACTGTCCGGGCTTCCGGCTGCTGGCGAGTCGGGCTAACTGATCAGCTCGTTCATTGTTGCATCGTGGGACGTGCCGCACCTGAACCTCAATGAAATCGTCCCTGTGCTTTTGGAAGAGGTGGTAGTATTGCAACAAGTTGGGATCCTTGACCTGGAAGTTGTCATTGACCTGTTCGGTCATAATCTTCGAATCAGTCCAACATATGACTTTTTTCACACCCATCTCGGTTGCCAACCGCATTCCCGCTAGCAAGGCTTCATACTCCGCTTGATTATTAGAGGCTCGGAAGCCGAAACGCAGAGATTGCTCTACAGTGATGCCCGAGGGACTAGCTAGAATTATACCTGCCCCACTTCCTTGAGCGTTAGAGGACCCATCAACATGCATGGTCCACGACTCGTCTTTGAAACGGCCCGGAGGAGTGAGCTCGTTGATGAAGTCGGCTAAATGTTGTGACTTGATGGGGCCTCTCGGCTCAAAAGTTACGTCGAACTCTGAGAGCTCAACTGACCATGCCATCATCCGGCCGGCAATCTCAGGTTTCCTCAGGACTTTGGCAATTGGACAATCGGTTCGGACAATTATCTTGTGGCTTTGGAAGTACTGCCTGAGCCGGCGGGCGGTGTAGATGAGCCCTAAGGCTACTTTTTCTATCAACTGGTAGCGTCGTTCGGCATCCTGTAATGTCCGACTGATGAAGTACACCAAATGTTGTTCGTCTTGTTTTTCCTGAATCAGGACGGCACTGATTGATGTGCTAGAAACGGCTAAATACACAATCATGTCGAGGTCGACGACTGGTTTGGAAAGGATTGGAGGTGCGCCCAGGCGTTCCTTGAACTGTTGGAACGATGCCTCACACTTCGGGGTCCATATGAACCGTTTAACTTTCTTCAGTAAAAGAAGGATAGGTCTAGCTATCTCGGCCAGGCAAGGAAGGAACCGAGAGAGGGAGGTGAGTCGGCCTGCTAACTTTTGAACCTCCTTCAAAGTACTTGGACTTTTCATGTCTAGGATGGCCTGACACTTGTCGGGATTTGCCTCAATGCCTCGACTGGACAGCATGAATCCTAAAAATTTACCGCCCGAGACTCCGAACACACACTTCTCAAGGTTAAGTCTCATTTGGTGGTGCCATAGCGCCTGAAACACCTCGGTCAAATCTTGTGCATGTGCCGACACTGTACTTGACTTCACCACCATGTCATCAACGTACACTTCCATGCTTCGGCCAATTTGATCATGAAAAATTTTATTCATTAATCGCTGATATGTGGCTCCGGCGTTTTTTAAGCCGAACGGCATTACTCGGTAGCAGTAGTTGGTTGTTTCAGTAATGAACGTTGTCTTGTCTTCGTCTTGAGGGTGCATACAGATCTGATTATATCCTGAGTATGCATCAAGGAAGGATAAAATGTGTATCGGTGCATACATGTGTTTGTCAGTGTGAGTTTGTGTATCTATAACTTTGTGTGTATGAGTTTTTGTGTGTTGGTTAGTGTGTGCCTGTGTTTATGTGTTTCTATGTGTGTGTTTGCATGTGTTTCTTTAATTGTGTGTGTCTGTATGTATGTGTGCCTTAGTGTGTCTGTTTGTGTGTTTGTCTTTGTGTGTCTATATTTGTGTCCGTGTTTATCTTTGTGTGTCTTTGCATGTGTTTCTGTTTCTAAGTATGTGAGTGTCTAGGTGTCCCAGACATACACACAAAAATGCACATACATCCAAACACGTAAACACATACATAGACACAAACTCACAGACACACACAAAACATATACAAAGACACAGACATACACGTATACAAATAAACACAAACAAAAAGCCACTCACAAATAAACACAAAGATACATTCACACACATACACACAGATAAGAACACACATGCAAATAGACACAGACAAAGACACGGAAACATACACACAAAACATAGACAAAAACACATACACACATATACAAATAAATACAAACACAAAGACACACATATACATGGACATAGACACAGGAACAGACAGACATAGATACACACACAGAAACATAGAGAAACACACAAAAAGAAACAAAAATACAAACACACAAACACAAACACCCAAACATACACACAAAAATGCACATACATCCGAACACGTAAACACATACATAGACACAAACTCACAGACACACACAAAACATATACAAAGACACAGACATACACGCATACAAATAAACACAAACAAAAAGCCACTCACAAATAAACACAAAGATACATTCACACACATACACACATATAAGAACACACATGCAAATAGACACAGACAAAGACACGCAAACATACTGATCGAAGTCGTATCCGGTCAAATAAAAACAATTAAATGTAGTACTAGGAAGTTGTCCTAGGTCGTCTCTCAAGGACCATTTTTCTCTGTCAAAGGCTTAAACACACGAAGTGGGGGGGGGAATTTTGGTTGTTTAAATTTTAAGTTTATAACACAATAAAATACAGATAACACAATAAGTAAAATAGATTGGCTCCTTGTTCGGATTGTAACTCTCTTATCCTTGGTTCATAATAAGATTGCTCTGTTAACCACTTAATCCTTGTTCCATCTGAGTTAACCAACTAAGCGAAGATTAACTCAAGATTTCCCTACACGAATTAAGCAAACGTATACAACATCAACCTCTTCACAGATTAAGCAACTGTGTCATTAAGCATAGCCCATTAAGCATGGACATACTAATATAGAGGTTGAATGAAGAAGAACAAAGTAGAACAGAGACACACAAACATACCCAACCTCAAACAGAGATTACAATCCATAACAAGAAGCCAACCCAATGGTTTTAGCCTTCCATTAAATTTGAACTAGAAATGAAAATGCAAGGAAAATGAAAATGCATTAAATCAAGTTAAAGAGTACTACAATCTAGCCTTCCATGGAGGAGGCAAAGAACAGAATTAAAATGCATACAAAAGGAAAGGA